ACTTGCCAGCTCTTCCTGCCTGTTGGCTCCTCGCTCTCAGCTGAAACTGCCCTGGTTCCAGGAAGGGAGAACAAGGGCTTGAACAGCACAAATTTACAAACCCTCCTGTTGACTGTGCTCAACTCCGAGCAGTCACTGACACAGTGACAAGGAGGAGCGTGCCAGGCGCAGTGCATCAGGGGCTATTTGCTCTGCCCAATTCAAGCGCTAGAGACAGCCCCGAGGGCAAGCAGTGGGATCAGCTCCAGGAGATGCCACGTCTCTTCCAGGCAGAGGCGGGATGGGATGCAGGATACACATTCTCATCCCGGCTCTCACCACCTCCTCGCTGCCCTGTTCCCCTGTTGTCTGCACAGGGCCAGTAAAAGCTGCGGCGAGGCGAAGGATGAGAGCAAAGACATCACATGGATTAACAACTGGCCAGCCAGTGCAGGCTTGGCCAAAGGCCATAGCTGGTCAGGAAGAGCTTGCTTTAATGCTGAGCCAAAGCACGAGGCCTGGAGGCTGCATCTCGCCCACGCCATCCAGCACAATGCTTGCCAAAGCCATATAACCAACCTGCAGGACCCCAGAGGACTTCTCAGGGAGTCCACCGCCTTCTGGCTAGGTTTCCTGGTTTGGAAAGGCTGTCATTAGCTCCTCAACAGCAATAACATCAGATGAAAGTGTGCTAGATACTTGGTTGATCTGCTGCCCACGTCACCACAGAGCTACTGCACAGCCACAAATGCAAATGAAAGGACTGAGTGAATGCAAGGTGCCCACAAAGGGAGAAGAGCCTGGGGGAAAAACCCTGCCCTGAAACTTGGCAAAACACTGGAAAATCATGAGAACTGGACCTCTGCCTCCCAGAGAGCTCCAGAGTACATTTGCCTCTTACTTGGCATCTCTAGAGATTAAAGTTTCCTGGGGAGAAGCAGCTCTGCCAATGAGCAAAGCAGCACAGAGCATCGTTGGGAGCTGCAGCACAGAGGGAGAAGCAAACTCAGCCCTGAGCTGGCAAGGAGAGAATGGCAAGAGATGATGCACAGGTCATGGTGCAGCAGGGCCATCAGAAGCTCTGGGACAGGCAGAGACATGAAGCCACCGAGGAGACTTTCCACCTCAAGGCCACTGCACAGTCCTTGGCCCTGCAATGCCCAGCTGGATGGAGTGACCGTCCCCATCGACCAGCTCCCAGGGGATGAGGCAGGAGCAGCTCCATCAGGGCGTGCAGGACCCTGGGGAAGCTCCCAGGGAAGCCTCCGGTGCCACAGCTCACACCCATCAGACAGCTGACACCGAACGCCAGTTTGCCCAATTCTGCATGCCAGACGCTCTATAAATAGGGAAGACTTCAGGCACCTCGGGGCTGCAGAAGTCAAACATGCCACGGCTGAATTAACTGTAACGGCTCAGCTGTGCTCCTTCGGCTCGCAGCATCCCTCCTCCCAGCGGCAGGGCTGCACAAGCACCCACAGAGCAACAGCTAGGGCCTCAGGTTGGAAACACCGAGGACAACGCACCTTCCCAAAGCTGGGATCCTCTGTCTGGATCTGGCTTTCAAGCTCTCATTAGATACAAATCCATACAACTCATGGAGAGATGGATAATGCTGCCCCGTCCACCCGTGCCTGTAGAGGTAACAGGTACTAGTGACCCGACCCATTTGGCTGTCCCCCAGCTCAGACAGGTCTAGCACTGTCTGAGTGGTGTCGGGATGAGCAGACTTCGGCTATAAAAGCCTGCCCAGCACGTCACAAACTGCCACCCGCCTCCCTGTCCCCGGAGGACCCCTTCTGCTCAGACGGGGGGTGCTGCGAGGGCCAACTTCCAGTGCTGTGCACACATTTTCACCCAATGAGACTTATTTAGATCAGATAAATCCCGTGGTCATTCCTGAGATGAAAGTGTCACAGGAGTCCTAAATAAGCCCGTCTCCGCACTGGGGGCTCCAGGACTACCCAGGGCTGCCCAGAGGAGCCGCCAGGGCCGGAGCAGCCCCCAGACTCTCCTGGCTCAAGGGGAGCTTGGAATGCACCCACAGCTTGCCTTTCTGCACATCAATTAACCTGGTCTTGCACAGTGGGGCGGGGGCTGATTAATTCTCGCAGTGCCTTTGGAGATGGCAGATGCTTTATTTTTGGCTCCTCGGTCTCGCACGTAACAAAACTGTTCATAAAAGAAGCAGTGTCTGTGCAGCACCTCCATGGCTTCAAAGCTGCACACCCATCACAGAAAGCTCCTCCAAGCCTCAAATCCAGTTTCTCTGGGAGCAAAACCTAATTAGATTTAAGATGTCATTTCTCATAACGGACAAAACAGAGAGGAAAAAAATGAAGGAGCGACACCTCCCACTGCAGGCAGCACGGAGGCTTGTGCCTGGGGAGCATGGCTGCCAGCAGCATGCACAGGGACACCGTTGGGGGGAGGCACAGTCCAGCCAGAGGACAGCCACCGAGCATCTGTCCTGCCGTCACCAACCCCAGGACACAGCGCATCCTGCGATCCCTCCATGGTATCTGCGGTCTGGGTGTGTTTGGGAGCAGAGCGAGTGAGTAGCGGAGGGGGTGAGGGCAATGATTAAGGCTGGGGCAGAAGCAGTGGGAGAGGAGAGGACATCCACTTCATCAGATCAGACAGGCTCCCGGGCTCAGCGTGTGCCGGACGGGCAAGGGTGACAGTGAGGGTCACTGAGGCACAACCTCTGGCACACGCAGACACGGCAGAGCCTACACAAAGAGAAGGAGCAGATCCTGAGAGAGCTGTGGAGAGCCCCAGGGGATGGCTATGGCCCAGGGCAGTGACTCTACATCACCATTTCTTCTGTGACTGTCCCACTTCCAGAGCAAGAAGCAGACATGGTTAGGACGGAGAAGCTCGCCAGGTGCTGAGTAGCCTCCCCAGAGCAGCTGAGAAGTCCCTGCTCTCATACTTTCAAAACCTGAACGATTTACTGGCTTCGCTGTCAGAGCTCCTGGCACTTTCTATCTTTGGATTCATCAGCTGAAAACGAGAGCTGAGGGTTTTGTAGAGCTTTGTGCAGTCACCACATCCCAGCTGAGCTCCGTTCAAAAGAGCCTGTTCAAGAGCGCCCGGAGCAGCAGGGACTGAAGGTGCTGGCTGGGACACCCCAGGACAAGCAGAGCCCTCTGCCCAGGAAGCACTCCTGATAAAACCTCAATAAGCTTGTTGCTTTTGATGAGCCTTTTTGCCAGAAGAGATTTTTCCACTGTCCTGACAGAGGAACCCAGCTTTTGAAAAGGACTATGCATGGGATTGTGTACCTTCCCAGCACAGACCCCATCCTGCATCTGCATCTGCTCCACACCTCCACCCCAAAGGGAAAGCAGGTCCCTCACCGTCATTAACTAGGACACCTCCTCTGCACCCAACCACTGCACCACAGTGAATCCTGAGCAGCCTTTTCCTTGCGCCCCGTCAATGCTCTGTCGGGCACTGACAGGCCGGCAGGATGGACAGAGCAAAGACAAGTATAATTTAATGTATCTGCATAATAGAAGCAAAGTGGCAGAGTCCTTCCAAAATGTGGGAGTAGAAAAACAAGAGGAAGGTTTCTTTCAGGTCTGCAGACAGTTAAGGACCTGGCTAATTCCTTTCAAATATTCTCCTCTCTTAGAAGGGAGGCATAGGGATACCTTAAATTCCTGTTTACATTACAAGCCACCCCTGTGGCTGGGTATCACCTACAGAATGACATTAGCTGACAAATGAGTCAGCTGGAGTAGTGACACACTCATCATCCTGCTTTACATTAAACGTCAAGCTCTTGTTGAGTCTCATGTCAGTCAACCTTTCCATTCAGCCAGTGTGAAACATTTCTATTATTATTATACATCATCAAGACTAATCTTAACAGAGGAAAGGCTTGCACAGCCAAGTCTCCTTCCAGCCGTCCACAGAAACTACCATACCTCACTAGCACGCAGATTCCCAGGCATCTGCAGCTCATGAAGGACATTCCCACAGGTGACCATCAAGGACACCATTCTGACTGAAAGATCTCCTACCTTATTATTCACCCTGAGTTGTGAAAGGGAAGAAGAACACCCATTTGTTTGTGAGAAAAAAAAACTGGACTAGGCTTCAGACTCTTTCCTTTTGAGCACAAAAACCCACGACACCTCTCTGACTATGAGATTATTTGCAAAAATCTCTTTTAATCTCTGCTTGCCCTGACTTCTCCCTTGCTTGCTTACTCCCCTACTTACGGTGGTGGTATGGTTCTTCTTTGCTGGGAGATGACCGTGTTTCTCTAAAACTAACCAGGTATCACTGATTGCCCAGAAGAACCACCAGGAGAGCAGGTTTTGTGGACAGGCAGGACCAGACTTCTCCTAAGTGATGGGCTCTGGATGATGCAGGGAGATCTTAGTGCCACAGTGGTGACAGCCTCAGAGGTGTCACCTGGGGCCCACCTTTGGCCAGAAGACACCACTACTGCTGCTAAGAGCCATCACGGTCCTGGGTCCAGGGAGATGCCTGGGGCAGGTACCAAGGCTTGTGCTCCTCCGGTGGCAAGGGAAACCGCTGGGAGCAGCGAGTGCCCCCATCTCAGGAGCTCACTTCTCTGGTTTTGTATTTAGTTCAGTTCTCCCACGATGAAAAGCGCCCAGAGGAAAGGCAAGGCAACACACGGGAGTCAGGAATTCCCACTAGCTTCTTTGAACTCAAAATTAGCTGCCATCAAGGAAGAAACTTCTCTCTCTCTGCTCCCCGCACTCTCTACGCAGCATTTAAGAAAACCTGAGGGAAGTTTTTGTGCTTTGCTGGATGCAGTTTGACACTGAAATGCAAGGTACCACCACTTGTCTATCCCCCAGCAGGAGCCATGTCCCGATTGCTCCCACAGGTGTGTGCACAGCCCCCGTGCACCCCCAGATTTTCACGAGGGAGCTCTGCACAGCTGCGGGAGCAGCTCTGATCTGGCGAGAGCCGGTGCAGGATGTGGCCCCACGGCGCGCACAGCCCAGCTGCGTTCCCTCTCCGGGTTTACTCACTGATCTCCAGCTGGCTCTGAATCCTGCCCTTGCAGCGCTCCCGGTAGTCGGTCTGCGTGGCGTTGTACTCGGACATCACCTCCACGAACTTGCGCGACAGTGTCGAGTGCTGCAGAGGGGAGAAGAGAGAGCGGGGGTGAGGGTCCCGCGGGAGGGAGAGACCTGCCACCCCCGAGTCGGGGGAAGGCTCAGCCCTGAGCACCCCCCGCACCTCTAGCTGCCCAAAAAGCGTTTCTAGCCCAAAAGCTGCTCTGAGGAGTGTGATGAAGTGCAAGGGGAGCAGGTGACAGCAGGGGACACGGCCCCGGTGGGGTGATCCACACGCACCCCTCACCCAAGCCCAGCCCAAGCATAGCCTTCAGCCCCCAGAGGACGCCCTGGGGTGGCAGCAGACCCGTGGGTCATGACTGGCAGCACCCTCCTGCATCACACCACAGCTTGTGCCCAAGCAGCCCAGAGCCGAGGCCACAACAGTGCCCTGCACCGAGCCCTGCCTGCCTCTGCCATGCTGCCGGACCTGGCGCGGGTGCAGGATGGACCCGCAGTGGTCACTTTGCAGTGCTGGAGCTGGGCAGGAAGGCCCCAGGGGGACCCCGCGCCCTGAGCCATCAAACCTCCTCCCTTGCTGGGAGCGTGGGCACGGCTGGCGGGGCAGCCCAGGAGCCCGGGCACACAGGCTGGGCCAGGGGCACAGGGGAGGCCCAGGATTGTTCCCCACTCCAGAAGCATGGTCCCGCTTTTCCTTCCCACACTGGAGGGCTCCCCCGAGCACTAGCCCCACGGGACGCAGGGGATGACTGCCTGACCCAAATTGAGTGGCTGCCTGCAGAGCTGCCAGCCCAGGGCAGATGGTGTGGCGGAGCTGTCAGCCCCCCCCCCACAGAGCACCCTCATCTTATTAGGCTGCTTTCTGTTCTCCAGGAAACGCACCAGAAAACCTTCGAATTACACCTGTCCAGCTGAACACACTGACCCCCCCCAGTGCTGGCTGCTGCCCCTGAGGGGGAAGCTCACCCCCACGTGAGCACCCACACTGGGGCCTGACCTGCTGTGTGATGTAGCTGCCAGGCTGAGCACAGCAAACAAACAGCCCTGAAGATGTTCCAGGAAGGTCAGGACAGAGCATCGCGTGCATCTTCCATCCAAATGCTTGTATCTCTTGAATGAACCCTTTCCCCAATATGCCAGAAATTGAGTTTCATAGGATCATGGACTCACAGATCGGTTTGGGCTGGAAGGGACCTTCAAAGATCATCCAGTCCAACCTCCCACTGCCACGGACAGGGACATCTTCCACTAGATCAGGTTGCCAGAATGTAAAAGCCTTTGGACTGCTCTTGGGGTTGTGGAAGGGTTCGTTTGGAGGTAGTTTTGCTTGCAATTAAAAAAAGGGATGCATTTCCCTCGTCTTGTTCTTGGGAGCAGCTGGGTTGTTTATAAAGGCACAGAAAAAAGCACCCTGCAGCTGGGAGCTTCACTCTGACTGATGGCACTTGCATAACGTGAAGAACCGCCAGCAGTGGGACATGGGACTTGGCTATGCCCGCTGAGCGGGGCTGGAGCAGCAGCTCTGCCGGTGCCGGCTGCCCTCACACCACTCTGAGCTCCTCACCCTCCATGGCTGTAGGCAGCAGCCATTCCCTGCAGCATGCTCCCCTCCCGTCCGCTGAACCAGGTGGGAAGGGCTGGCAAGGGGGTGTTGCGGGTCGCCCTTGGTGGGAGTGAAGCTCTGTCATGCTAAAACATGAAATGGTGGCTGGAAATGGGCTATGGACCCTTCCTGGAGCTGGGGAAGGTGGGGAGGGTGATCGACCCAAGGGGACATTGGCATTATGCAGCTCCTTATACCTGTGAGCTCAGATGGGAGAGCTCACCCCTCACCTGCAGCTATGAGCTCACACGGGGATACAGACAGGGGTCAGGTTGTTCTCTTGCTGCAAAGCAGCAGCTTCTCAGGGCTTTAGGGCTTTAAGGGTACCCTTATCACAGAATCATGAACTCACAGAATGGTTTGGGTTGGAAGGGACTTTCGAAGACAATCCAGTCCAACCCCCCTGCCAGGGGCAGGGACATCCGCC